GAATTGACAATGTTTGGTGATCTTTGTATGTACAAAGACCATACTCAGTAACTAGTAAATTGCCACTCTCATCCTGAAATGTATTTTAATTTTTAAATAGCCCATCCTTTTGAAAACTAAAGAACTTTGGAGCAGATTCTTAGAGGATTACCCGTGTTGGATAGACAGAGCCTGTTGGCAATCCCACGTTGGATGTAATATCTCTATAATCCCGGGTCATGAATTTGTTGGTATCGGGGCAGAAGTGAACACTCTTTACAACCTTTGGCCTCACAAGAGAGCCTAAGACATAATTAAACAGCAAATTATTCCAATGTATAAGCAGATTACTAAATCAGTAAACTGAATAGGTTAGCTGCAATGACATCAACAGTGTATTTTCTTTATATAGCTGAATCCGCTACTGGAAACATTAAAAGGAACATGTTGTCTAATAGTAATAAGTACTAATACACATTCTGGAATTAGTGTGCATGTGCAAGTACATGCACTTAAGTACAAATACACATTCTGTGTATAATATCATTTGCCTGATGGCTAAAACCATGGTTGTGTAAACTATATAATGTTACTAAATTTTCATTTCCAAAATCTAGCTACCACAATTACAATTCATTTTAGCATAATCAATGCCCTCTATGCATAAATCTAGTGACTTTGAGCATTACAACAAGTTGTGTTTGTAGGAACCATCAAAGTTAAATTCTATTAAATCCTAGATCTTAATAATCACTGATTAAAAACCATGCAATTATTTAGAAGCGCATATAATTAGGGATGCGTACATTTTGTAACGATGCCCTGGACACAAACCATAGAGCCAATGAAACTGGATAGGAGCTCCCTTGGTGTCACTTTTCTTGAAACAAAGGGGCCTTTGAATCCAACGAGCACTTGCTCTCCTTCCTTTAAGTGTTTGGGGTAGTGCACGCGGAACAAATCTGTTAATGCATCACATAGTGGTTGCACATATTCACTCGGATTCTGAAGAAGCCTATATATTTCATCAAGCAAATAAAAACCTCAAAAAAAAAAGAAAATATAAACAGAGTGTATTAAAAGATACATGAAAAATTAGCATTAAGGGACCTGCGAGCCAGATTAGAGCCTTCTGTATTATTGTAGAAATCATTGAGATTGATGATGAAGCGACGTCGTGAACTGTTGACCATGTCTTCGAATTGAAGTTTGAGTTGAGTGACCAGATTCTGCAATTCATCAATAAGTGAACATGCATTAGGAAAAAATAGAAAATATTTCATCTATCGAGATTCAAATGTCCACTTTCCAGAACACCCCATATTTAAGGAATCTGAGTAAAATTACAGAAAATCCTAAAACTAGCATGTACTTCACTGATCACAATAATGTTAATAATCTCTAGGGGTATTCCTCCAAATAAGTCTCTGGGGGTGCTTTTGCCAATTCACGGTAGTCTGTTGACTAAATATGATAAGTAAACAACTAGCTCCGAAACACTCAAAGGAAAAGCAAATAAATAAATCTAACTGGAGGGAGTATAAAAACAACATCAACGAAAACAAAATGAGGAAAACTAGACTAATTTTCAGTTTGTGTTGGGAATTTTAAGGAACGGAGAATTTGTGTTACCTGATCTTCAAAGAACTTGAGAAAAGTTCGCTTGTGCGCAGCCCTGATGTCATCACTCAAATCCATCTTATCCTTTGACCTATGCTCTTTTCTGCACTATGTGTGGAATCTGCAAGGCAAAAATTCTATTTCCATAACGAAATCGTTGCAAATATTGTCTTTTTTGTTTGGGAAAAACCTCGCAACACACCAAAGAGTATGAACAGTGTTCTGAAATGCACGATGACTACTCGGCGGTCTCAGGCGGAAGTAAATAATTGGGAATTGAGCCAAGACGGAGTTAGAAGCCAAAAAACATACCTGAGCCCGCCAAGACGGAGTTGAATCTGCGCTTTGTTCTCTCTCTTCTGCGGAGAAGTAACGTTCTCCCTTCGATTGTTCAATTCTAGGGTTTGCAATTGGCGGGAAATGGATGATTTAATGAATTGCTTTGGCGGGAAAGGTAAGGGCGTGTTTGGTTACTTCAACCGAACTTTCAAAAACTGGTGGTGAGTTTAGGGACAGATTGAGGGGAGTGTATTTAATCCAGACTTTATAGGATTTTATTGGATTGAAAATGTCTGTAGGTATTCAATTGAGATTCTAAAAAAGTTATTTAAAATCTGAAGGTATTCAATTTAGATTTTAAAATGTCTATTGAAATCTGATGGTATTAAACAATTCATAGATTTTGAAAGATTTTTATTAAAGATGGATTTTGATGGATTGGGCTGTTGTTTTCACTGCAAAAAACGTCTCAAAAATCTCTTGCAACAACAAAGGATTTTAACCGACTTTGCTCACCCCTTCACTACTGAGATCTGCGACCTTGACCTCTGCAAGGATTTTCATCTCTCTTCAACACCTCTTGCTTGGACAGATCGGAAGCACATGCAACGAAGGACGGTGGCGCCGGCCTAGGGTTTTGACCCGTCCCTTGGCCATGGTTATCTGCGAAATTGCAGGCTCGAAGGGTGATGAACGAAGCTCCTGGACGATGGCATCTGCTCTGGCAGCGTTGCTCCTCAACGAGAAGACATAGGAACGATGTCAGTGGCCTGGAGACAGCTGCCCAATGGTCCGAATGAAAAGGAAGACGAGTCTCGGCCGTATTTAGCTTGGGAAAAGTTATTTTCAATTTGGGAAAAGTTTTTTAACAAATCATGCAAAATCCTTTAAAATCATATCGATAAAATACATTACAATCTAACTAACTGTGTGTAGAATTAAAACAATCCATAGATTTTACATAATCCATGGATTTTAAGAAATCCTTCAAAATCTTTTAAAATCTAAATTGAATACACCCCTGAGTATTATTTAAGGGTATCATTTTTATCATAAAAATACTTATATTTTATTTTTAAAAATAGTTTGTTTTTTTCATTAAAAATTTAAAAAGACAAACATAAAAAAATGGGAGAGGGGAGTGCCTCACTAGTGGCTCGGCAAGCATGGAAGAACTTTAACATGCCACAAGCCCACAACTTGAGAGCATGAGGGTGATGTGTGACAGGCGTGACTAATGACTTTTCTCGCCAATTCGTCATTGTCGCTACTCTTATAGCACTGTCAGTGGTGTGGAAAGTGAGTGTCATGCTTGCCACATTGGCCGCCATCCTCGTGAAGCGTGGCGATGCATAGGCGATACCCTTTGCTTGTCGGACCATGCACGAGGCAGCTCCTTCATTTTATTTTATTTTATTTGTACAAAAAAAATGTTTTTCTTAAATAGTACATCTATTTTTATGAAAAAAGGGAAGTAAAATAATTTTCAATAATTCAAACATATCAAAAAGTGTAAAAATGATAAAAATAATGGCTTGTCACTACATGACATATTACTTCACTTATTTGTTACATGCTCACTATATTTTTTTTATTACTTGAAATCTTCAATGTCAGCGTATTGCATTGTTTTTTATTTGTCATTGCTCATGCGCACTACAAACCGACAAACTGTTATACGGTATTTTCCGTACAACCTGCTGTATGACGTTTATCGTAAACCCGCGGTGAATACTTATCTACGAGTAATTGGATACTATTTTTCGAGTAAATAAATATATATTTTCGAATAACTAAAAAGGTATTTTTTCTAATATTCAGTTATGATAAAAAGTGAACATTTAATTATTCAAAAATATATATATTTAATTATTTGAAAAGAAGTATTATAGGTAAGTGCTCTTAAGGGGAGGTGCGCCTTACTCGGAACTTATCAAGGTCATCCGAGTCAGGCTGGGTAAAAGATGCACATTACTGCAACCTGCAAGAGGAACGAGTATTAATTTCAATTTCTTATACTCGACCTGAGCACTTTGCTGGTGCCTCAGGGAGAGTAGTAGTAGCAGGAGGAGTAGTAGTAGTAATAAAAATAATAATAATAATAATAATAATAATAATAATAATAATAATAATAATAACAACAACAACAACAACAACAACAACAACAACAACAACAACAACAACAACAACAACAACAACAACAACAACAACAACAACAACAACAACAACAACAACAACAACAACAACAG